ACTTCTTCACTCTGAGGGTGACGGAGCCCTGGAACAGGCTGCCCAGGGAGGTTGTGGAGTCTCCTTCTCTGGAGATATTCGAGACCTGCCTGGACGCGGTCCTGTGCAGCCTGCTCTAGGTGACCCTGCTTTGGCAGGGTGCTTGGACTGGGTGACCCACAGAGGTCCCTTCCAACCCCGAACGTTCTGTGATTCTGTGATTCTGTGTTCCCCTACAATGCAATGCAGTGCATTTATATTCATCTTAAAGGTGGTTGTTTTCTTACTTGTTTGTGAAACAAGCAAACAATAATGGAAAAAGAGTTGTAGTATAATTGAAATGAGACATAGAAATTCTGGGTTTTCATGGCCCTTTTTCCCACACTTCCTATGCGCATGCACACACACACACAGAGGTTTATAAAAAGGCTTTCTAAAAAACTGTTTACACATCTAGAATGCTACTTATGATTATTTCTTCAAATAGTATTTTTAAGACCTGCACTGTTGGATTCTTTTGCTAAATTTGGCATCCTTGGAACTGGTAATGTTGCCACAGACTTCATTTGTCAAAAGATGCAAAGGTTCCAAAAAAGTAAATGTACTCCAAACATGTGGTTTCTGCAGTTCTCTTGTTTTTACAGTTTGCCAGTTACTGCAGAAACATTTTTCCCCACTCGGACATTCGCAAATTGGTTGCATTTTAAACACTTGTTTAGTTCAAAATGAATTTCCATGCTAATTTTTTTTTTTTAAGTTTTTTTTAATCCTAAAATTTCCTTTCAGTTTCAGCAGGGTGGGGCACTGTCAGAAACTCAGTTTCAAAATATTTTTACAAGGAGAAATAAAGGACAAAGTGTAATGAAAACTCATGAGAAAAGTACTTCTATTTTTGATCATGTTTGTAGATGAACAAAGACAAGAAATACTGTTGCCACAGTAAACAGATTCAATTTATTATATACTTGTTCAAATGTAATTAAAAATGTTTTGTAAGGAGTTCTTGGGACTGCTCATGTTGTTTTTAATAGGTCTTTTCATGGGAAACTCTCAGAAGGCTGAGGGTAAACTAGTGTCATGGTATTTAAACACAGGCAATTATAGGCCTGTCAGCTTCTCATCAGTCTCGCACAAAATAATGCAACAGCTGAAAGCAGATTCAATTAATGAGGAGTTAAAGGATGGTAGCATAACAAATGCCAGTCTGTGTGTTTTCATACGCTATATTTTGCAAAACAAATTTGATAGATGTAATTATTGGATTTTGTTACTAAAAATACTAATATGTAATAACCGTAGTAGCAGTAGGTGCTGGGTGTAACAGGGTTGTGTGTAACTTGGTTCCATTTGATGTTTTAAGAAATGAAAATGATACAATGTCAATGTGGAAAACCTTAAGTATTCCTGGCTGGCTGACAGGTCTTAAAATGCAGTCAAGAATTGTGAATCATCTTCTGTTTTTTAGTAGGGTGCCATAAGGATTGTTGCTCATCTCTGCTATCTGACAGGTTTATCAGCACTCAGTCAGTTGCCTCCTGCTAGCTTTTTCAGGTGACAGCAATTTCTGGGGTGTTATTTAATGAAAAAGTGGTTGGTAACAGCCCATGATTACCATACCCAAACTATACCCAAGGAAACAACTCCATGTTAGTAGGGAAATTCAAAATCATACCCCTATGAACAAAAAATATGACCTTTTTTTTTCTTTTTTTTTTTTTTTCAAAAGTGGAGGCGTCTCAGTATGTGCTGACTTCGACTGTCGTGAAGGTCAGAGTAGCTCAGCTAAGTTCTTTCTGTGATAATAGGATTGAAATAGGCCAGTATGATCCACGTGCACCTGCCCGTGAAACAGACACAGGCTAGAAAGAATGTGCATTTTTGAGTTCAGTTACTTATTAGATGGTTTAGCAAGGATTGTAAATCAGCTTTTAAGTCAGGGCTAACTTTTTTTCTGAGAATGTATTTAGTACTATTATGTTTGTTGGACCTGAAATATTAAGGCCTAATGTAGAGGAAACATGCTAGGGAGGTCATGGTAGGTGATCAGTATGTCTCTTCTAATAGATTTGTGTTACTGACAGTTCGTTTCTAATAGGGTTCCAGCACCTACATAACTATTTCTTTTGCTTTCAGAACTCTTCTGTTCCTTAATCAAAGGAACCATCCAGATATCATCATTCCATGGAACTGAAATATTGGTGAATTAGTGCCGGTTCCCAAAAGGACTGTAAAATGGAGCCAATAACATTTAAAGTTAAAAAATGTCAAACACCTAGTGATTTCCCAGCAAGTTTCAGTCTCCAGCTCGTTGGTTCTCTGCCAGTCCATTCCCTAACCACCATGTCCATGCTGCCTTGGATTGTGGCAGAGATCCGGACACTCAGTACAAAGTCTGCCAAAGAAGAACCTAGCGTCAGCCAAATCCGACTCTATGTTTCACCAGCGAGTTTGCGATGTGAACCAGACACAGGGAAGATCCAGCAGTGGGATCCTTTGATTTGCTCAAGTTTGTTTGAATACAAGCCGCAGCATGTCCACAAGCTGATTCACAACAGCCATGATCCAAGCTACTTTGCTTGTCTGATAAAGGACGGAGCAGCAAATCAACGAAGTATCTGCTATGTATTTAAAGCTGATGATCAGACAAAAGTAAGTAAAAAGAAAAAAAAACAAAGTAAGCAACCCTCAGAATGATACTGCAGAATTTGTTCTCCTTCTACTCTCATGTGTTTTGTATAGTATAATGTAAATGTGGAAGAGTTGATGCTGCTTCTTTTAAAATGGAATTGCTTTCATGCTGTTTGAAACTTTTCACTGCAATGTGTGATCTTAAGGTTGTATTTACAGTTAGAGACCGGTTCTCGCTACAACTTACTGTCCAACATCACTTTATTTGATACTAATGGTTCAGCTGAATTTGAACTTCTCAGTGTGTGAAGTGAAAGCTGTGTAAATCTCCTACAGGATCAGAGCCTGAATTTAGTCGGCTTAAAAAACACTTCAGTTTGGGATATGCACTGAAATCTTGGCCCTCAAGCCAGTGAGAGTTTTTCTGTTGATGTCACTAGGGCTAGGGTTTCACGCTTGAGTCACTGTGAACTTTAATCCTACGGTCAGACCTCTCAAATTTCTGTTTTCCTGAGTTGAGACCTGTGTGACTGGAAAACAGAGATACCTCCTTCCTCAGAAGGAGGAGGGGGCAGGGTGGATCCTCCATATGTAGCGTACCACTAACCGCAGGACGCTGTGGAAGCCCCTTCCTAGCTCTGTACGCCACAGAGCCTGTCACGTAGTGTTGGAGAACAGGCGAGAGACCACAGCGCAGTGCTGTGACTTGGTGACATGCAGGCTTGCTGCTGCATGGAATTGGGGTGTGTGCATCTCACACCGTGGGTGAGGTTTGGCTTGGGCTGCGTTTCCTAGGAGCAAGTTGTGTCTTTTCTGAAAAGGTAAAAGCATTAAAACCAGTCAATTTCTTCTTTTGTTTGAGAGTGACAGGAGACAATAACTCTTGTGACTGAGTGAGGTGAGTAGGATTTGGCACAAAGCTATTGTGATCTACTGGCTACAAAACAGTGACATATCCTTCACCACTTGAGTGTAGACTCTAGTTATAATGTTAGAAAACTGCATCTTGCTACATGCTGCTTGCTTGACTCACAGGAGATGTCCTGCTGATTTTTTTTTCACATGGGATTTATGCCAACATGCCCAATAGCAAAACATTGCACAGTTCCAAATCCGTAGTCTCAAGCTTAGAGCTCAAAACGTATGGAAACAGCTTTAGTTAAATCCCTCCCAGATAAAAAAGCAGTTCTGGTAAATTAGAAGGCAAATACGTTTTAAATCATAAGCATTCAAGCGAGAAATCCTGCCAAGTTAAAATGTAGAAATTTATGTATGTAAGGGAGCAGAAACAAGGAAGAGATGTTTTGGGACTTTGCATTGAGTAGAAGCTAGTAAATGCAGTTTCCAGTTTGCTTATACACTTACTGTTGTGGCTTGGGATTTTACAGGATAATGGTTAGCACGCAACACTGATCACCTCCAGGACATTTTCTTTTGCAACACGAGATTGAAGTACTTTTTTCTCGTGTTTGATCGAATTCCCAGACATGATGGAAATGAAAGAGAACAAAATAAGTCTCTAGTTAAATTTTCAGCTGTGTCTACATGTTTTTGGAGACAACACCCAGAATTTTTGGATACCTGTTTTAGCTACTTAGCCCCATATTTGCACAGCTATCTGTCCTTTCAAAAACTACCCTCCACGTCAAAAGGAAATTGAGTTCTTGTCTCTTAACTTGCTTTTATTGCAAGGGTTGTTTCTCTTCACTTTTTTGCAAGGTGTGTTCCTAATTAGGAGGTAGACATCTAATCAGCATTTGTGGACCTATGTTTTAACAAAAGGATGATGGAAATGCCAAGTGTTCCTATCTTCTAAAGTGAAGCTCTGCCTGTTTTACTGATATTCAGTGGGATTGCTGATTAACTTTTAAGTAAGTCTCTTATGCTTTATAGGGTGTTGTTACTCTGCTCTGGATATTGTCATACAATGCCTTGTAGCTAATTGGTGTTGGTGTATTTATCAAGAGGAGCAAACCATTACCTGTTTTCCAGATACCTAGCTTGAAAGCATAGAAGTGTACTGTATACCTTTGTTACAAACTGAGTGAGCTGTTTGTTAAAACGAATGAGTTGGGATGAAGATTTTAGCACAATGTTGCTGTAGCTTATGTTCAACTTCAGAAGAAATGAATTTTAGAATCATAGAATCATTTAGGTTGGAAAACACCTTTAAGATCATTGAGTTCGGCCATAAATCTAGCACTGCCAAGTCCATCATTAAACCATGTCTCTAAGTGCCGCATCTACAAGTCTTTTAAATACCTCCAGGGATGGCGACTCAACCACTTCCCTGGGCAGCCTGTTCCAATGCTTGGTGTGAAGAAATTCTTTCAGTGAAGAAATCTTTCCTAATATCCAATCTAAACCTCCTCTGGTGCAACTTGAGGCCGTTTCCTCTTGTCCCATCACTTGTTACCTGGGAGAAGATATGGACACACCCACCTTGCTACAACCTCCTTTCAGGTAGTTTGAGAGAGCAATAAGGTCTCCCCTCAGCCTCCTTTTCTCCAGGCTAAACAGCCCCAGTTCCCTCAGCCACTCCTCATAAGACTTGTTCTCTAGGCCCTTCACCAGCCTTGTTGCTCTTCTCTGGACATGCTCCAGCACCTCAATGTCCATATTGTAGTGAGGGGCCCAAACTGTTGACCAGCACCCCAAGGTCCTTTTCTGCTGGGCAGCTTTCCAGCCACTCTTCCGCAAGCCTGTAGCATTGCGTGTGGTTGTTGTGACCCAAGTGCAGGACCTGGCATTTGGCCTTGTTGAACCTCACACAATTGGCCTCGGCCCATTGATCCAGTCTGTCCAGATCCCTCTGCAGAGCCTTCCTACCCTCGAGCAGATCGACTATCCTGCCCAGCTTGGTGTCATCTGCAAACTTACTGAGGGAGCACTCGATCCCCTTGTCCAGATCATTGGTAAAGATGTTGAACAGAATGGGCCCCAATGCTGAGCCCTGGGGAGCACAACCTGTGAGCAGCTGCCAGCTGGATTTAACTCCATCCACCACCACTCTTTGGGCCCAGCCACACAGGCAGTTTTTGACTCAGCAAAGAGTACACCCGTCCAAGCCATGAGCAGTCAGTTTTTCCAGGAAGATGCTGTGGGAAACGGTGTCAAAGGCTTTACTAAAGCCCAGGTAAACAACATCCATAGCCTTTTCCTCATCCACTAAGCGGGTCACCTGGTCATAGAAGGAGATCAGGTTAGTCAAACTGGAACTTTGCAGCCTGTGTGACTCAGCAGACTCCTGTGCTGGCACTCTTGCTCCTGGGGACTTTTTTTCTATTTGCTTAAGCCCTGTAAAAGAGACACAGTAGTCCAGATAGATTGCGTATTCATAACAACTCTTTACCCAGCAATCTTGGACATCCAGACTTTTGTGATAATTGCACTTCATCTATTCTTATTTGAAGAAAAAAAAAAACATGGTTCCTAATTACAATAATATTGTAAACTGCAAGAGCCACAGTTCTTTGTATCTACATAGATAAATTTGTAGTAGGGCTATATTTGACAAAGAGTTCTCAGATTAGATCATGTCTGACTAAGGATTTGAAGTAGAAGGTACTTCGTGGCTTTGCAAAGAATTTCTGAGTATATCCCCGCCTTAGGATAGTTAAAATAAAAGAGGGCAGTAGCATATCTGTGGGAGAACTAGGCTAGGAAGATTAGTATGTTAAGACAAAAGCAGGTGAATAGAAGTGAATAACAGTGAAGGCTTTTGAAGAGGAGGACAAGAAACTGGAACTTCATGCAGACAGAGAGATAGCATTGGAAGTGGTAGAAAGTACAGAAAACCAGGAATGGTTAGGCTTTTAGCGTCAGCATGGCAGATAGACTGCAGTCCATTAACTGGAGTTGTACTCCTTCATATATACAAATTGAGCGAGAACATCTACTTGATTAGTGAGGGATTATCTTACTGTTTAATATGAAAGCATTTTGTTAATGGGAGGTGATTTTTTCCTGTGTAATATTTAGCCAAAATCTAGAATTGATGGGAGTGTGGGTACACGTGCTACATTTTTCCTGGATATGAATACAGGGCTGTTAGGTTCATTGTTGCTCCATTAGCAACATATCCACTTTAGAGAATAAATCAGTAGACAGGTAATTAATACTAATTAACGTCAGGATTCTTTGCAAGGAATTCTTTGTTGTGCTCGTCTTTAGAAGTGAAAGAAAAGGCAGTTCCCTGCTGTGGTCTTTGTCTGCACTCTGTAGGATATTGTACAATTATTTCCATTGCATCATCACGGCAGTATACGGCTCACTTTCCCTGCTGGTATAGCAGTGCATAGGGAAGGACGAAAGAAGCTTTCCTGGCAAACTGCTCCTTGACACATTACTTGGAAACAAGCACATGCACATAGAAATCATTTCACTCCGCTTAGTACTAAAAGGACAGGTTTACACTGCATAGGGAGAGCTTCTTTTACAGATTAGCGTTTCCTTTTTAAGCAGATCTGTCGGATACAGGATCTGGAGCCTTCCTTCCTTCTTCATGTGTAACCTCAGTATGTTTCCACTAGTTACAGATGGTGGGGTTTCTTACCCTTTCACCCTCACGCTGTGGAGGTTTGGATGGAGCCTCACGATGGACTAATTTCTGCATGACGGTGGCGCTGAAGCATTAATGCTGATTTTTTGTAGGTGCTCAGGAATGGAGCTGTATTCAATTATATTGCCTGCAGGGAACTTACGAAGACTACTGATAGGTCAGAGATGGGGATTATACAGACTGTGCTGAGTAAAGGTGGTGGGAGCTAAGGGAAAAGTTAACTCTCTGGTAAATCTGTGCTTGCAGGTTAGTACCTGCATAAGAACGTGGCCTTGTTGAACAGCTTGGCCAGAGTGCTTGGGTGCTGCCAGGAGTGTGATGGCTTAAATGAGAACATACATGCTGCCAACCTACGTAGCTTCCCAGTGGCCTCTGATCTGACATTTGCTTACGTTCCACAGAAATGTCATGCGATTGATGTCATCGTTGTTGTTGACAACTATATACCTTAAAAATTATT